AGGCCTCCTCACCTGGGGCGCGCTCTGGGGCGTGCTCTGGGTCTCCCACAGCTGCTTGATGTTGGCCACCTGCGTGATAGAGAGCTGGCTGCCGGCCAAGCGCAAAGGCACGTCGTGCATAACGGACGCGTGGTCGCTGTGAGCCGTGTGAGGATCCTGGAGGTCCATGAGAGAGATGCTACGTCCATTGGGCAGGAGGCTTTCCCTTTCATCCTTATCTGAGTAAGTCATGCTCTGGGTGGATGCCTGCTGAAAAAAAAAATAAAGTCTTGCCCCTAAAATACCCATCTCCATTTTCCTGGGTTGGAGACTTCAGCTTATGCAAGTCACTGTGGAGTGGAAAGGAATTTGGTTAATTTTTAAGCAGCTGAGACCCTGAGAGATCTGTCCCAGAGAAGTCTTTCTACCTCATTTAACCTCCCCCCAACTGAAAGCTTCAAGGAACCAGATTTCCTTTCATGAGCTCTTTGTGTTCAAGTCAGAACACACTCTTCCTTAATTAACACTTATCTTTGAGAATTATGTTTGATTCGAGAAGTGCTTCATCTTTATTTTTTTTTTACAGGTGAAATGCAAACCATTCCCACTAGATCCACCCCCCTTTAGACACTTCTGTCTCCAGCAAGACTTCAGAGCAGTTCAGATCCCAGTTAACCCTTTGCCAGCCTTATGTATTATGGGGAATCTGAAAATTCAACAAGAGTTGTGTGAAGGCTCCTGTAGATCTTAGAATCATAGCAAGAGTTTAGGTTGGGAATCTTTACAGGTCATCTAGTCCAAACCCCCTGCAGTAAGTAGGGACATCTGCAACTCGAGCACGTTGCTCAGAACCCCATCAAACCCAACCTGGAATGTTTCCAGGGATGGGGCATCTACCACATCTCTGGGCAACCTGGGCCAGTGTTTCACCACCGTCAGGGTAAAAAAATTTCTTCTAGTCTAAATCTCTCCTCTTTTAGTTTAAAACTATCACTCCTTGTCCTGTCACAACAGGCCCTGCTAGAATGTCTGTCCCCATCTTTCTAACAGGCCCCTTTTAAGTACTGGAAGGATGCAATGACGTATCCCTAGAGCCTTCTCTTCCCCAGTTTGAACAATCCTAAGATACAGATCTAAGCTCAGAGGGCAGACACTTCTAGGTGACAAATTTTGCCCTCATACCAACAGCACAGAAACTACTCAGAGCACAGCATCCAGGCTCTTTGGTACTGCTGCCATGTCACAGCTTATTGCTTCAGATTAACAGCTATTACAGGGAGAGAAATGCTGCTCTAAACAGAGGAGGGACTATTTTTGCTATTCCACTGGTAATGAGTTCCACTGACAGTCCAGTTTTCCCATTAGCAATAAATAAGTGGCTTGATGGCCAGAAGGAAACGTTGTGGCTGACTGTGCATCCGGACACTCAGACTGGCAGTAAATCGCAAAACTGGTTTTTAGCAGCTGAAGTCATTGACTCCCAGAGACACGTTTGTGTCCTGGGTAAGTCAAAAGCTTCAGGTCTCCAGTGCCACCTTGTGCACCTCTCACTGGGACTGTGTGTTGCCCATGACATACACCAAATCTCCCCTCTCCCACAGCCATCCTGGGCAGAATACTCAGGTGATGGAAGCACCAACTCTTACCAGGCTTAACAACCCCCATGTCCCACATCTTTCCCTGAGCTCTGTCTGTTACATACCCATCAGTGGGGTCCTCAAATATCTTCTGAAGCCCTGAGGAGAGACTGCCACTGACGTTTGGACTAGAGCTGTGCTCAGTGAAACGCCTCAGCTGCTGCTGTATCGGCGTGGGGTTGGTCATTGATTTGGTGATATCGGCAAGGATACGAGGAAGAGGCCCCAGTTTTGCCACGGTCGCCTGTAGGAAGGAATTTTCACCCTAATTGGACAACAAGCATCGCGACATCCGCCAGTTTTTTTGATACCGATGCAGAGAGGCGGAGGGGTGGAGGTGGAAGGAAGGAGGGTGGGTGGTTGTGTGCGGGTGTGCCAGGACCGTAATGCAGTGTTACGGAGCAGCGTAACCACGGCGACGAGATGGATGGAGGAGACGAAACGGGGTGCAGCAGACATTGAGGAAAGAAAAGGAAATAGAAAAGAAATTAGGATTGACCCCCAAAATTAAAAATCATGCTCAATAAAACAAAACTATTGCCATTCCAATGCAAAACTATCATGCAAAGCAAACTGAGTCCAGAGTGGTTGAGGTCAAAGTGAAAACTACGGTGTCTACTCATTAAAGGGCATTCAAAGACTACAGATTCAGCTGGTGGGGGGACTTTCCAGGCAAAGGGTGTCATGTGGTAAAGGAAATGCATGCCAACAGACAAGGGGATGCGGCATTCAGGGGGATCATGAGAGAATCACAAGGGTTGAGGGAGATGGGGAAAGGGAAGGTTTTCATTTAATAAGCCTTTTGCTTTTGGCATCTTACACCGATGCCATCTTCTCTAACACCCTGTTATCAACAATTAAGGCGCTCCTCCCTACCTAAAAGTGAAAAGTAACTGCATGAAAACATCAGTGTTTCTCATCCCATGTTATCTCATCAGCCTGGGATTAAATGTGTAGCTTCCTGCTCACTTACACGTTATCTCAGTGTTGGCCAGGCCAAGCATAAGAGCAGCAAGGGCTCTTTATCTTTTCTCCCCACTTTGGGTCACTGCTTGTTAAATCACCTACTGGGCACCTATAGGCTCTTGGGACTGCAGGAAGAAGGTGAAGGTGTTAGAAGTTTATAAGAAAGCAAAACTCTGCTACAAAGACAATGTTCTTTTCAAAGATATCCTTTTTTTCCTGTAAGCAGGTCTTCAGTCAAGTTTGGCTCCAGAGAAAGATCTCTTTACAGATGCTTTCATACAGCATTTCTTCTCTGTCTGTTAAAATCTCTGAGGTGACTTCTCTCATCATTTCACAGTCATTACCTGCAGTAAAGCAGTACTGCAATGCAACTTCACCCTTTCATTCTCTTTTTAGCAAACACTACACCAGCTCCGAGGGGCCTGTTAGATAGATCCATGTGTCTAACCTACAGAAAGGGCACAGCAGATATGCTTTGATGGCTTATCCAGGTCTGGCTCCTCCCTTTCCTCACTGCTGAAGACATTTATGACCGTTGAATTCAGAGAGCAGCTCACAGTAACTAACACCAAGCCCAAAGATCCACTTGCACTTCTACAGGTTGGAGCTGGGTTTCTCTTGACCCAAGGGCTGAGCAGTCTGCAGGAAGGTGGCAATGCTCCCTGCACTGGTGGGTTTACCCCAGCTGGCAGAAATGGAAGGTACGGTATTTTGAGTGCTGTCTTTGCCTGTTTTCCTGAGGCTGCTGATTTGTCTTTATAGCTGATTTGGCTGCCTGTGACTTTTTCAGTGTACACTGCGTGCACGTATGAGGGAAATGGAAAAACAAGATCATAAATTGTTATCAAACTGAGATTAACTAAGATTAATATATATTGCCTTTCTGAGTCAAGGACAGTTCAATTTACTCTGATGCAACAGGCTCAGCTTTTTGTTTCTGTTTTAACTGATGTACTGTAAGGAAACAGATACCCAACAAGTAACCATTTTGGCAAACCTTAATGCAATAAAATATTAAGAGTGCACTGCAATTCACCTCACCTCTCCAGTTTCAAAAAAAAGAATAACACAAATGGAATACGGACAAAATAATGCACCTCTAAGAGTTGAAATATGGAACAGCCCCAAGCACTGTCAAAAAAAACCCAAAAATGACTCACAGCTCAGACTTCCTGGGTCTTATCAACTACCTTTGCTATCAAGATTTCAATGATTTTGGATCCTGCAAAGCCACACAGCTAAGGAAGAGCACACTACTGCCTGTTCTCCTTCTACAGCAAAACTGAAGTGATGCTTATTGTTAGTGCTGTCTGTTGTGATCAGCAGAACAGAATCTGGACAATACCTATGACCCCAGAAAGCATCTTGTTCTTGTTAGAGGTTAAACCTGAGAGCAGATCCCAGTTTTTACATGGCATCCTCTTGTAAACTAAAAACTAATCCAAAGACTACAGAAATGAGAACACCTCAGCAGGCTTTGGATCAGGTCTTTAATGAGAACAGTTCTGCCTGGCCAACACAACCAGCCATCAGAGCTGGGCAGGGCAGGGCCTGGTGTGCAGCAACGCTCCATCTGTATCAACAAGGGCACTGCAACAATTTCATTTTCTGTCCAAACATCCTCTCTGTTTTCCAGCTCACTGATGAGAAACGACCAGCTACTCAGGGAATTCCAGGTCTACCTTTAAGAGCTGCCCTCTCCACTGAACACTTGGCCTTACTTAAGGCTCTGAAGAGTGTTTGCACTCCTGCTGAAGCCCAACCACTTCAGATGCCCTGCTTCGGGCCTTGAGCTGAAATCATATAAAGAACAATTGTGAAATGCCACTATCAAACATTCCTCTCCAAAGCTGTTGAATAAATCCTCCCCAAAGCAGGCTTCAGCTGCTCCCTTGATGTTTCCTAGTGTTTACTGTTGCTATGATACAATCGCTGGATTCACCCTCCTGGGCCTCCAGCCTGCTTTACCTTATCAAGCTGGGACACAACTTCCCATAACAGGGAATGCAAAACTGAGAGCTCTCTGCCCAGGTCAATGTAGCCTTCAAATCCAGGCATGTTTGAGATGGTATCTGGATTAGAGATCTCTAGGAGAAAACGCTTCATTCCTCCCCACTCGTGTTCCAAAAAGTCATTCATGAAGGCCATATACTCTTCCTTATTGCCAAACCTGCAGGAAAGGGGAGGGAAGGAGGGAAACCCAGTCAAAAATGCAGAGTACAAGTGCTTACAGACAACTACTTAAATGCTTAACTTTAGACTTGCCTCTCTGAACATTTGGCCTGGGAGAAAAAAAAAATGGACAATTTAAGAGATTCACTTTAAGCTTTCTTGGACTTGCTTAAATACGAGTAGTTCACTGTTCATACAATGATCAAGGACTCAACATGTCTCTCCCCACTCCCTCCCACGGGCAACCCTTCCTCTTCTCCCCTCCCCTGCAAGAATCATGCCATGTCGTTTCTATCATTCAGCTGGGAATTTTGCAGGAAGAAAGGAGGAAAATCATGATCCTTGGTGGGAACAGATTTCTTTTCTTTTGAAACAGCATACACACTGACATGCTAATGCACAGCTCTTCTTGATTTCATACTGTGTCCCCTCTACTGAATGCAACACAGCCCAAATCTGCATGTGAAAAGGAGAATTTATCTAGCTCAACACTGAGGTATCTCAAGGCTTCCCATGTAAGTGAGAAGTTTCCTCATTTTCTAAAGCTGACTTCAATTTGACAGGGAACCAGCTGCCTTTGTGCATGACTCCCAAGCAGGGCTCTCCTTGCTCCACAGTTACTTGCAGCGACTTGCCCCCCGAGAGACACAGATTTCAGCTTCATTGCCACCACCTACTTGGCAAAATTGGCGAGATTCTGAATGACTTTAGCGATGAGCGTGAGCGTGCGAGACGTCCGGTCGTCGGGGTACTCCTGCATGAGGCTGAAGAGGCTGGGGGACATGATGGCGGGGCACAGGAAGCGGAGGAAGAGGGAGGCGCTGATCAGGCGTTCACTGATGTCCTGCTTGCCCCTGCTCAGGCACTGCTGCTTCCAAGATGCAAATACCTCCTTCAGCTCACGAGGGAACACGCTGAAAAACAAGCAACCAGGAAAGAGACTCACACGGGCAATGAGATGCAGCAAGTTGAACTGGTGACCAGTCACCTGAAATAATCATAGGTGAGAAAACACCATCAGCTGTCTTTTGTTTACCCCTTTTTCTCTCTCTCTAGGCTAGGAAATGTCATTAGGCATCTATATTTAGATCCCCATTTAATCTGGTGATACTTAAGTAGTCTTTAAAGCATCCTGTCTTCATATACGTGAAGTGAAGCCGTTTTCAGACACACTGATTTGTAAGCTAAGAACTACTTATCCATCACTACCCTGGAGCAGACAGGGTGTTACAATGTTAAACCCAGACTGAACCAAACTGAACTCATCTCCACAACTGATTTTTCTCTCATTAAGCTCTCTCAGTATTTAGCACATGCTTCATCCTGAAGCAGAAAGGCCCTTTGTCTTTCAGTGCTACCCAGAAACAGAGAGGAACAGGAAACTCCCTGCCAGCGTTTCCTCCTTGTCATTTCCTGTTCAGTTCCACAGACCTGAAGGGTTTGAAAGTTTTCTATACACATCAAAACTTCCAGCTTTTTATTCCAAGTTCAGGCTAAGCTGTTATATTCTCTCTTGATTCTCTCCTTAGTCACAGCTCAGCATGTGTTCCCTTGGCGGAGTGCTTCAGCAGAAGCTGTCAGGTATGAAGTGTGGGACTGGAACCCCTCAATTTTGGGCACAAGTTCTACCTGCAATATAGTATCATACGTATGAAGGTAGTGAGGAAAGGAAGGCAGTATCAGAAGATAGATGAATCTGTGCTATTTCCCTGTACAAGTTTTTTCTCCTTTTCAGAGGAGGAATGGGCACCCTCTAAGCCAATGACCTAAGGGGATGGAAGGGGAGGGAAGATGCCTCACCAGTAAGAATTGATAATCTTGCAGAAGGCCAGCTCACAGCACATTTTCAGGTTGCTCTGATGATCTGTTAATTCACTGGATGAACATTTGCTGGGATCCACTTCACAGTTTTCATCTGACTCATACAAAGCCTTGATAAACTCCCCTGGACAAAGGGAAGAGGATGACAAACCAGGGTAGTTACATGAAAAGCCTCCTTGACACACCTTTAAATCCTGCTTATGCCTCTCCTTGGCAACTGCCTCTTCTGCTCCCTATGTCTGCAACACAGACTCCAGACACCAGATGTTGGGGACACGGCTCCTCCCAGCTCTTTCAGCACAGAGCACTTGCCATACCAGATCAGGCGGCCGGTGCTCTGACGCTTCAGCCTCCCGTGCCCTCAATGCCCCCAAATATAGGTGCAATAACAGGGTGGCTTTGCTTATAAACCCTGCAGACACTTCACTTACAGCCCCAAGAATAGGATTTGACTTGGTATTCAAATTGTATTATCAACTATAAAATCATCCACAGACTCAGAAATGAAGCTGTGCTATTTGTCTTCATAATTTCTCCAGGAAATACACTTGACAATGCTATTTGTTTTTATTATTTCTAAATTTGCCGGGTTTTTTTTAATTTTAAAAAGAGTCACCTTGCTCTTGAATAAGAGTAATACCTGAGTGTTAGCCAGATACTACTAATTTTCTCAACCTTGTTTATCAACACCTTACAACATTTTTATAGCCTGCCTCTTTCAAATGCAACCTTTGCATTTCTGTCATCCATCTCTTACAGCACGACAACAGAAACTGGACAGACACAAAACCAGATGAAGCCTCCTTGTTTGACAGACTGCAATGAACTACTTATTATTTTCCCTCTTATACATACTAGCACATCAAGTGATTTTTAAACTGTGGTTGCTCACCAGGAAAAAACTCTTATACTTGTTCATTTAATGATTCAATGTCTTTTAAGTTCATCTCCTCAGATGATCTTGCTGGCTCCAAGCTAATGCCACAAGGCTTGTTTGTGCAAAAGGTTTTTTTTTTTTTTTTTTGTCTTTGTTTTCACATAACCCCTTAAAGACCTCCCAGTCTCCCTCCACATATCTCAAGTCAGCACTGTTCTTGCAAGCAAAGCAGGCAGCACATATTCTTAAGCTTATTTTTTTAGGGGGGGTCCAAAAAAATTCTGCTAAAGGCATCTAGATCACTTATTTGCAAAACTCTTGGCAACACTTCTGTTGAGCCAATTCTGTTTTAACTGTTATTTACTGGATAATATTTTTTTTCCTTAAACACATTGGAAGCTTACTCTTTGTGGTCCACTAGACCCTGCCTTAATCTTACATTAAGATGCTCTTACAGATGTATTAAATAGCTAACACCAAGAGTAATGTTGATAATCCTTTCAAAGAACATGGCATCTGAGCAAGATGACATTTAAACTTGACAAAGCATTAGATGGTTATATTGTCATGAGCAATCTTGTCACGAGCCATCTTGCCCTGAGCTACAGACAAGCCAGATGACCTTAGGGGGATTTTTCATCTCTCATGTCTGTGATTTACACTGTTATCACTCAGCACCAACTCTCTTAATGATGTATTAGAAGTCATTAATTTTAAAATATTTTTATGTAATTACTGCACATTAAGGGGCTTGCAGCCACATGTAATATGCTTGGTCCCACAGCTGATGGTTCAGTCTGCTGAGAAGCACAGCACAAACCAACACGCTGCTCATCTCTCCACACCAGGCGAGCGCCCAGCACTGCGACTTATGCTCAGTGGTTCCACCCATGAGAACAGGACAACCAGAACAGGCTCACTGCCCTTAAGAAGTGGCCTAAATGCTTATAATCACAGACCTGACTACACTGACCCTTGGAGCATTCATTTCAGCCAACTATCTCCTTGATGACTTGCCAGCGTCTGGGATTGCTGACGACAAGCGAGACTGCTGGGAAAACAAGCTGCCTTTTTTTTTTTTTTTTTTTTTTAAATTTATTTCTTTTTTTGTGAAAGGATGTGGTGTGGGACCAGTCTTTGGCTTGTTCTTACTTCCCTTGTATCAATTTCCAAAGCTTTCCTCTTCCAAGAAACAACAGGGGCATGGTTGGCTCATTGGGCAATTGCAGATAACAAAGATCGTGTGGCATCAGTAAAAGCTAACCATAGTGAGGCTGGGAGTTTCTTCAGAAGAAAGCATACATGATTTTGGTCCTCTCTGTTGCAATATTAGTTGTGTGGACAAGTAATTCCCAAGGCTTATGACTAAAGCACAACCTTTTGGTGGAGAAGGGACAGTAACACAATTATCAGAATCCACCCTGGCGTGTAACTGTGGTCAATAAGACCCCATGGAGGAAAGAGCATAGGACATCCCAGGCTGGCCAGGAAGCTTTAATGAGTCAGTGGATAATGAGCACTTTGGATAAACACAGGTAGGAGGCTCCCCAGACACCCTGCACTGTTGGGACAAGGTATCAGTTTAAAGGGTCAACACAAATGTTTGTGAGTTAATTGCTCCATGGCAAAGCTAAGGGCTGAGCAAGCCTAAGGGTCACTCTGGAATGTGCCAGCTTTAACAACAGTTGCAGCTGAACCACCTGAAAATGAGTTTTCTTGTCCTACCTGCATTCAACCCAAGTGCCAGGTGGGCATCCCATGCTTAACACTTGTTGACATTAGAACTAACAATTGCTGTGAACTACAACACTAAGTGACTGACTGGAGACACCCCTGCAATACGTACTTGTGGGTAGGAACTCTGGCTGTCAACCAGACACCCCTGAGTGTGTCTAATGCCTTAGGTGGTGACACATCAGCCTGAAGCGAGTGCAGGAGCTTCTTTAGCTTAAAAGATTAGTGAAATAGATGCTTCACATTCACAGCCTTTTCTGAAACCTCCCCCTTACTGTATTGCATATGGTATCAGATTCAGTCCTGACACCACAACACAAGATACTGGTCTCAATTTCTGCTGTCAAACTATGTGTCAAAACTCCTTTTTAAAGTCTGTTTGCATATGAAGTGAAGCAACCACCACTGGCAACAAGACAATTGCAATATTGTAGCTCTTCACCACAGCTAGAGGCACAAAAGGTCACCCACAAAAACATAACACGGTGATACAAAATTTAAGAGGGACTGAGCTCTGTCAAATCACCTTTACCTTGCCTTGGGTGCTAGTCCTGCAGCCACCAAAGAGCATTTCTTCTGAGCAGAGGCAGGGCACCACAAGTAAAACAGCATGTATTTTTCTACCTGGATACTAAACATCCGGGCTGAGTGACAAGGCAGTTCCTTCCCATCCCACATTCCCAGGCATATGAGGCCTCAGTCACGTTGCAGACAGGTCAGGGTTAGCCCTTGCAGTGCAAACAGGTGTCACACAGGCACTTTCTTACCTAGTGCATCATGAAGATACTTCTGCCCTACCAACTTGAGGTATTCCTCAATAGCTTTGGTAGCAAGTGTGTTCTCCCTGAAGATCAAGACGTCATGCTCCCCGCAGCGATCTACCTCGGACATCACCAAATCCGTCAAGAAGTCCTGAAGAAAAAGGCCAAATGGCAAGAGGTTATTCTAACCAGACTGAGTCATGTCAGGCTAACTGCAGAAGCCAAGGAGGAAGGGCAAACAGAGAAGCCAGAGGATTACTGAAATACTTGCTCGGCTTGGGACACAGGTTGCAGATGCTACTTGAGGCACAGGCCAAGGAAATAGCTACAGCTCTTCTCTGGTTTATTTTACATCTAAAATGGTACAGATCATACATGATAAAGGGAGAAAACCTTTACAGCCAAGCTTGTATTCCAGTTTACACACTGAACAGAATCCCATACCAGCTTGTTTATCAGTGTCCATGTGCTGAAAGAAAATGTGATACTATATTTGTCTTTTAATACTGAATCCCGCATGCAAATTTGGATTTAAAAACCCACACGGAAGCTAGGGACAAGTTCTTACAGCTTGGTGAAATAAATAATAGCTTATAAAAAACAAATTCACAAACCAAAAGTGGGTCAGGCTTTGGGACAAAAGTTAACGTACTTGCTGTGGATCTAAACTTTAACCGCATTCAAATGTCCAGGCAGGAACTATCACCAAGTCTTGATACAGTGAATAGCCTCTTGATACAGGGTCTCATTCTACTGTAATACTTATTTCCTGAAGTGATACTTTATGTGAGTCAAGGACAATCAGCATTGCACAAGAAATATTTGCTATTTTGCAAGATCAAATTTCAGCCACTGTTAAGTTCTGCAGGAGAGGAAACATATTTATCCTTTTTTTTCCAAACCGTTCCAAAAAAAAGAACCCCCAAACCCAAAAACACCACCCTGAATTTGCACTGAATGATAACTGTGACTTGCTGGTTCTGCTGCAAACAGCAGCATCCTTCAAACAAGGCTGCTGTGATGCTTCATAGCCCCATTAACTACAGAAGCCACAGTGCACTGCTAGCATGAGTGTAAAATATGTGGAACAAACTATATATGAGAAATACAGATGAAAAATACACTTGGTTTTCAGTCCACTATTGCTGTTTCTTTTCAGCAATATCAGAGAGAGCTGTTTTCACCTGGTGCAAACTGGGTCACCACCTCCACAGCGTGACCTGGAAACGTGCCCTCTTTGCAGCTTTAGCCTAAGCTGCTCCGTGCCTCCAGTAAACAGAGATTCAAACACAAGGCAGAGTTCTAACACTTATTTATCTACCTGTTGCAGTTAGTGCTGCAGGAATCCAGAGCCTGCTTTCCAGCAGGATTTCAACACAACCCTACAGGAGCTATCCCAGCTATTAGCTTCTCTTGATCAGACAAACAGCTTGGTATGGCATGAGCTCCTACCACAAACTGCCACAGAGCAGCAGCCTTTCATAGACATATGTCAACGGGAGAACAGGAGAGAGTGGCATATGACTATGCCAGCATAAAAGGATCTTTTTGGAGCAGTTAAATCAGGCTGTCCCCACATCTCCAAGCCTCCATCTTCCGTTTGGTTGTGCTTAGCTTGCTCTAGCTGGCACTCCTGGAAGAAGCCGGCTACAGCTTGGTACTGCACATGCACCCACCTGGGAGGCAGCATCCAGAGAAATCAACACTTGCTAATGCTTTTCAGAACCTCCCAAGTCCTACAGGATGTTGTCCCACAATCTATTTGAAGAAACTGAGGCTCACTCCAATTGCTGCCTCACAGAGAACCATCAGTGTGTACCCAGAAGTCCTAATAACATCCTTGGGGCAGGTGGGATCACCATTAACTGAGCAGAGATTCTCCAAATGGCTTTTCAAATGCTGACCTAATCAATGCTAGCATTGATTAGCTGACTTAGCACTGAATCAACAACGGCACCCTGCTGCTCATTGTATCAGAGACTTATTTATAGAAGCAGTTCTCCAGTTTACTCATCTCTTATCCTGTATCATTTCAGGAATACAGAGGAGGTTCCTCAACACTCCAAATGCAGGCTCTAACTTTTCAGAATAACATGAAGTTATGTAGTCCTCCCACTCATACTTTTCACACAGCATCTTTAACCTTTGTATCAACTCTTAATCACTGTTGGTATCGTGCCTATCTAGAAGCCTTTCTGGTAGATATAATTGCCCAAGTCTTTCCAAACACTTCTGAAGATCCTTTTCTCAGCTTATACCCCATCAAGGCACCTTCTACTGTTGCTCATGGTCATGAGCTTCCTAGTGTCTAGCTGAAAAGACATGAACTAGCAGCACCGAGAGGGATTTGTTGTACCAGCAGCCACCTGTTCTTACCTTTGCTCTCCCAGTGCTCTGAAGGATGTGCACCAAAGCACAAGCCATCTCCTCCTTATTCCTTACGCTGATGACAGGTTCCAGCACAGAGCACAGCATAGTGTAGTTGCTGGTAACAAACTCTGCAAATTCTTTGTATTGCTCCATGGGCAAGATGGTGATGGTCTGGTAACGGGACTTGATCCGAATGGAGGGTCCCCCTGATTTCCCTTTGTTGGGCGTAGGCGTGCTGACTGGGTACCATTTTTCCACAAACTGGCGACCAGTTACACTGGCCATGGGAATGTTGACCAGGCCTACGTAATTGTTCTTGTCCTTTTTCTTCTTCTTCTCCACATCCTTGTAGATGTGAACTGTGATGCTGTGAAGAGGTGGGAGACCGTAGAACTCAAAGTGCTCTCCCCAGAAAATGTTATCTGCTTTTGTTTTGCTGGTGGTGCGGGCAAAGAGAGTGTCATCAAGGCACAGCTCACAGAAGTACTTCTTCTTGGGGGCCAGGTCCTTTGCCTCGATGATCCAGAGTCGGAGCACATTTTCAGCTCGACGGCAGTTGTCCTGTGAAGAAGAAAAAGCTCAAGTTGGATTCAGAATCCCTAAAATGTCAACATTTTGGCTTCTAAAGCAGCAGCAAAGGGCTGCCTTGGGTGTCTGAGGCAGGGACAGAATCAGAACTCAGAATCAGATTCTCTGATCTTCAGAATCAGAACCTCTAGAAAAAGTGGACATTATCTAAAGCAGAGGCAAAGGGCCATCTTTTCTATGTCAAAGGTGGGGGCTAGCACATTTTTCTTCTCAAAAGGCTGTATTTGAAATGGGTTAGAAAACAAACACTCTGCACAAGAGCCACTCAAAAGCCACTAGATTGGCATGGCACGCTGCATTATTTACTCTATGAGTAACTCCAAAAGCACGTTTGCCTGGTCCTTGTAGGTGGTATGCAAACTAAGGAGGTGACTGGTCAGGTACTTCCAGCTGATCAATAACCTGACCCTCACTTCTCACTCTGACTCAGATTTCTTTTTCTCACATCCCCAAAACTGTGCCCCCATAGTAAAACATGAAGCCTATGAAGCCATGTCCCATCCTTCTGAGGTGCATGGCATCAGAAATCCAGTGTGAAACATCACAAGCTGGCACTGGGGCAAGGATCAGGAAGCACGACAATGTATTTATCTGCTAAAGGTCTGACCTACTGCACTCACTAGAACAGTACACAGCAGCTTGTGACACACTGATGAGCCAACTTCTCCCCAGACTAGATTAATTGGGGATGAATCTGTGGGAAGCTCTGGTATACTGGAATAAAATCCAATCATACCACCTCCATTCCCCCAGTAATCTTATTTCTGCAGTTGCTGTTACCTTATTCGGCTGCACTGTTCTGCGTAGGTTTTCCATCCACTTGTCCCTTTCTGCTGCTGAGGAACAACTGAAGCATTTACTGCCGCTGGAGTAAGTTACCTGGAACACATAAACAACAGGCTGAGTTCAGGCAAGCCTACGAGACATGTGAGGGGCTGCAAAAAGCAAGGAAGAGCATAAGCAATACTTGAGCAACAAAGTAAACATCAAAAAGGCAGGAAAACAATACAGGAGCCTGCAAGGCAGAGAGGTTTAAAGGCCCACAAAATGCAGAGAGAAAAAAAAAGTCAGTTCAAATAAATATAAAACTAAAGAAAATATGAGGAGCACCAGGGGCTCCTCTTAAAGACTTTTAAACAAGGTTTTAATCAACCAGTTGATTTATTTTTTAAAAGCACTTGTTAACTGATCCATAGCTATTCAACTCTTTCATTCCTCCCTAGTAAGTCCTAGAGGCAGATGATTTGGTTATTAAGAGCATAAAGACAGATGCAACTAATAATGTTTATATAATATACAAACAATTATATACGTATACAAGTAAGGCAAAACACCCTGGAAACAGTGTCCTCAGGAAAATGTTTCCAAGGGTCCATACACACAGCAACAGTCTCAAACAAGCTGAAGGAGTAGTGCTCTGATGCAGCCCCAACACTCGGTGCCGCACAGGGCTCTGCGCCCACGCAGGAGGGAACCATGTTGCTTTCTTTCACTTTTACGTGGCCTGACAAGCTTCATTTACTCTTCCCATCCGTTTGTGCACACAATTATAAAGCAGTTTGAGGCAACAGCCTCAGAGCTCAGATGTTGCCAATTTCTTCACTCAGCTCCCCAGACCTAAGCAAGCTGGAAAGCGCTTCCAACCAGAAGAACGAGACTGAGGCAAACAGGAACAGTTCCTGCGTACGTCCCGAGGGGGAAGAGCTCGACACGCTGGTTTTCTGCCAGAGCGGCTTTCCAGGCTGTACACGGATCTTTGTTCCAGAAGTTCAGGCACATCTGACTAACCCTGCCGAAGACAGCCTGCCACCCGCCCCTGCCATGACAGGTTCCCATGGCCTCAGATGGATCCAAACAGCACACACGAGTACGCTGCTGGCCCTGTGAGGTAAGGGCTGTGCTCCCCCAAACTGCTCCCTTCCGAAAGCCCGGAGCCAGCGGTGCTGTGCTGCAGCCTGCGCTGAACACCGAGGGGAGCTCTGCACCCTGCTCCATGGAGCAACGAACACGTCCACAGCTACTGAACATCTCCTTTAGCAATCGGAGACGGAGCTGAGCTAATGGAAGGGGGCTCCGACTGGAAATCCCATTTCTCAGTTATGGTATATTTTCTAAATTTAACTTTAGGTGAATTTGGAGAGGATGAATACACAGCCTAATATTATGTTCCAATCATACGTTTGCATGCAAACTGCAAATGCTTAGATATCTATCACATTAAAGAGATTTTTCAATTAGAAGATGCGATAATTAGATTTCTCTCTGTTGGCTGATTGATGCCGTTAGCCTAGAGGAGTTTAAAATCACAGGGTGGTTGGACAGTCCCCCCCCAAAGCTCGGGATAGCGTTGGCTGCTGCTCTCTTCTCCAGCTGCAGAGTCATAGAGCAGCTTACTGCAGGGGTTCAGCCCGACCCACAGCATGTCATCGGCTGCGGGGCTGGAGAGCGCTCTTTACCTCAAAGCAGAAGTCTTGTCCAAGGATACTGCTGTGGAGTGGTTTGACAAAGACTGTTTCTTCTGACCCAAGATCCAGGGCCTCCACAGCGCTGCCGGGGCTCAGTAAGGACTCATGGGAGCGGGACTCTTTCAGCTTTGGCAACCCACGTGACCTGCAGGAGAACAAGAAACATTATTTTCCTTGCAATTACCAAAAGCTCTGGCAACATCCCAGAGGAAGCTGCAACTTGGTATTTATTCAGAACAACTTCTACAATTAGTCTGTAAACCTTATGAAAATAACATTAGGCCAGTAATCCCAGATTCCTAAGGAAACATCCAGCTACACAAGTCTAGGAAGCCCATTCCCAACGACCTAGAAATTCTGGCTGCTGAGCCACCAGTGAAAGGACAGCAAAACAAAAAGTTCACTTCACTGCTGAAATTTAAAGAAAACCCACAGGTAGATTTGGATACATTACTGAAAATATTTACTGCCGTCTAGATTACTAGATGAATGTTGTGTATTAACAGCAAAAAGCACACCAGTCTCTCCATCTCAAACCAATGCAGAATGAGAGCTACTGTCATTAGAGCAGCCCACCCCCTCGCAATATACTTGGTTTTGTTTAATAGACAAAGCCTTTACACTGAGGTCAAATATGCAAATTACTTCCCACCTGACAATTCTCAAGTTTGTTACCTACATTGAAATTTTGCATTTTCTTCATCAGCTGCTTCTTGCAGTGTTAAGTTTCCATTTTTTTTGATACCACCATTCTCTTTGAACTTCCCCTCACTAACACATACTGCTTCTCTTTTTCAGTTGACTGTCCTGTAAACCCCTGAGCTCTACCAGAGCTGGCATATCCCAAATGCACAGCACCTTTTTATAAAAAGCAGTATTCTCTTTATCACCCCCTCACCTCCCCCCCCCCCCACTCTACCGCCAC